GTCCTGGGGAGGCGTGGAGGCAGCTCCTGGGCAGGAGTTTGTAGCAGGGGCAGTTTGACCAAAGCACAGGAGTTTGTGTGTGTGAGCACAGCAGGGGACAAGGGTGAGTGTGGCCTGCAGGGATAAGGATGATGCCAATGGCTGTGGCTGGTGGGAGCACATCTCATGCCTGATGGGGAGCTAGTACCCACCACCACCTTCCTGTCCACATGGCAGAGAGTAGGGCCTGACACTGATTTCAAATGCTCCAAAGAAGGGAAAGCAGGAGATGTGGAAGCTGAAAACAGCAGGATTTGGAGGTGAAGAGCCACCTGCAAGAGTTGACAATTTCCAAAGGCAGCAGAAGACCTGTCCAAGCTGTGTTTCCTTGTCTCTGGCACAGGCAGTGCCAGAGGAGCATGGAGGACACGTTTGCAGTATTGTAGCCCCTGGTGCTGCACCCAGGGGTGGTGGAGGTGTGCATGGTGCTGGTGAGTACATGGGGGGTGAAAGCCTTCAGTCTTCCTGGGAGCCCCAAGCGTGTGAGGGATGGGTGAGGAAGGTGATGGGCTCCTGGGGATGGACTCCTACACAGGGAGAAATGGTGGTGGCATCACAAGCTGGTGCTGTGAAGTCTGAAATTATCAATGCACCAAGGGGGAAGAGGTATGACTGTGATGGGACACCATTTTGAGAGAGGGAAGAGGGGAACCTGAGTGCAGATTGGTAGCTGCAGCTCAGGCTGTCCTGCACCTGGGTGTGTTGGGCACCTGGGTGTGCCAAAAATGAGCACCCACAGAGCATCATTCCCAAGACAACCAGAGGGAGCCTTTACAGCTGCCAAATGTGAGAACTCATTAGCTGATTTTATTAATTTGCTAAGTGGGTACATGCATCTTAGTGAAAGCATGTTAACAACTGATAATACGTGATTAATTAGAAGATAATAAACCAGATAAATGTAAGAGCAGCTTCCCTTGGACAGATGGACTGCACTAAATAATGTATGTTCCTTGGCTGAGTCGTGTGCTTGCTTGCTTCTAATCTGTGATGTGCGTGTCTGAAAGGAGAAGCAGCACAACACTTTCCTTGCAGGCCCATTGCCAGGGCTTAAGTCGGGAACAGAAGAGGAGCAGGAACAGACTGCTGTGAAAACGAGAAAAAAAGTAATTAAAAATATCTACTTGCAGGATGTATCCGTCTCCAGTCGAAAGAAATCCCTTTTCTGTCTGTGGTGGTAGATACACCTCCCATTAGTTGTATTAATCATAGAAATACTTGGTGTGTTTGCTTCTCCTATTTTGATGATCATAGTAAATGTTTATGGGAAATTAGGGATATTGTTTGTGTCGTAAGAGGTCAGAGCAGCACAGTGTTACTCCCACAGGTGTGGGATTTCTGGGGATGTGCTGTGTGTGGCTTGGGAGCACCTGAACTGTAGGAAGTATTCTGGCGCCAGCCCATGGAAAATCAAGGTATCCCCTGGACAGATACTGACTTAATTCCTGGAAATTCCACTTCCCTGAGGTAACCCAGAGTGAGTGAATCCACCCCAGAATGTGTATTCCCTTGAACACGTGTGTGTAGACTGTACATACATCTCTCCATAGGCATGGCATCTACCCATGCTCTGCATCTGCAGGGGATAGCCAGGGTTAGGGGACATGGAGCCCTCCACTGGGGCTGGGCTGAGGTGACTGGAACCGAGGTTATTCCCAAACTGGAACAGACAAATACAGCGAGAAGCTGAAAGCATTACAAAGAAGCACCAAACCAGAAAACATCATGTTCTTTCAGGAAAACAGCAGCGTAGTTGGTGATGCAGAAACCCCAACTATTTATCCTTGATGCAGTGGTTGCTATGTCTTTAATGTTTTTTAAAGGATGGTGACCCAAAGCTGTAGCTGAATTGCAGCTACCTTTACATCTTGTAACTATTTTGCTTTTATTTCAGAGATTACTCACCACTACACTTCTGCTGTGGCTGTGTTCAGCACATTGCCTTGTGTGCCATCCTGTGGTGATGGGTATGGCTCAAGTTACAATTTATTTTTATTTTTGGAAGGTCCTAATAAGAGAATTGGAACAACTCACAGGGTAGGTCCTGTGAGCAGTTGCTTGGTGTGCAGGTGTTACACACAGGAGGAGGACTGGGGGACCCATAACCAGCACTAAGATTGGGGTGAATGGAACTGTGTACAAAAAGCCCAGGCAGAAAAAGCAGAACAAGGGGGTTCAAGGGTAACAGGAACCTTGGACTGTGAGTGGATCCAAAGGGGAGGTTAAATCCACCATTTAGAGGGTTGGGGGCAGTTCTGCCTGGACTCCTGCTCAAGGGAGTGTCGATCTCTGTCAGTCACACAGGTTGGTATGCAGGAGGCTGCTTCAGACATCTGAGATGTGTTCTGGAGCATTGAGCTTCTTTTTTTCACCCTTTTCCAATGTAAAGCAAGTAGATAGTCTTTGATTTCCAATATTTATTCATATTAATATTGATACAGCAGTGACTCAGTCCCTTCTCAGTGAAACATATTTATATAAAGAGATGGAACTGTGCTTTGTAAATAGAAAAGACCAGTAAGCTGGGCTAAGGGAAGTGTTTGTAAAAGGGAAGAAAATAGGGAAGCCAGGGAATGCCCTTCCCTCTGCACAGTGACTGCCTCAGGGAGAGAGGGGCTGCTGGAGGAGGACGAGGCGGGGCCGCCCCTCAGATACCAGCTGAATATGATGAACAATTTTGCTCATTTAATGTTTTAAGACTTGAGAAACAGGAGTTCAGTGTTCAGAGGAGGTTGTTGCTCAAATCATGCCCCTGTTTTAATGTAGGTTTTCCATTTCCTTATTTATCCATATCCATACAAAGACCATTCTGTTCTTTGTTCTTGTACTGGGGACGTTAACGCTTTCAAATGTCATAAAGTATAATCTTTGTGAAGCTGCACTTTAATAGACTTCCTTCTGGTAGCACAAAGCTTCAAAGGAAGATGAATGACACTACAGTCAGTCACAGTGCCCAGAATAGCCAGGATAAGCATGGACACAATTGTCCAAGCCTCATATGGATTTTTCTTGCCAGCACATTTTGAAGGGGTTGTGTTCTGGTCAAACTACTGCTGGTGGCTGTGTGGGTCTGTGTATCTGCTGCTCTGCCCTTTTTGCAGCCTGGGGGAGTCCAGTCCTGTCCAGCTGTTAAAGTGCACCTCTTTCCCTGTGGAGTGCTTGGGAGTGCTTTGAGGAAGTTGGAATGTGAGCATTGCCCCCCAGGGACAGAGTCCCCCCGTCCCATACAATGGAAGGATGGGCTGGTCCAGAAAAGGCAGAGGGCTGGATAACAGCTTGGAGCTCAGCCCTGGAGCTGCCCCAGGATCACCCCACAGGCACTGCTGCTGCTGCAGACACCCAGTGAGCATCTCCCACCCCGGGACATCCCTCTGCCCACCTACAGCAGGATTCCACACTGCCCCGTGCTGGGCTCCATCACCAGGGAGGAGAGGATCAGCCTGAGGGGCTGGGGCACCTCTCTTGGGGTGGTTTGGATTCCTGTTAAGGAGGGGCAGCAGAAGCAGGGTCATCCCAGCTTGTCACAACAAGCTGGCATCAAAGCTGCCTGTACCTCCTGTCCAAGGTCCATCCATGAGGTGGGGCTGCCCACTGAGCCTGAATCTGGCCTGGGGAGAAGGCTGGACCTGAGCACAGCTTGAGAGAGTGCTCACAGCATGGCCTAGCCTTAAATGGAACCCCCAGTCTGGTGGGCAGCAGATGGGTGCCTGGGGGCTCACCTGAGGCCACTTAGTGTCCTCCAGGCCTCAGCAGGGTCTTGGGTAACTCACTTGGGTCCTTCTATTGCTGGGGCAGAGGAGAGGGGCCAAGCAGCTCTCTTGCAAAGACAGGAAAGTCCCTTTTCACCAAAGTTCTGTTGGGCTGTGCCTGATCCATTAATTTGGCTCTGGGGTGCACTTCTGAAATCCATCTCACAACTTCCCCCACTTTTGGATTGTGTCCTGGAGTAGCTCAGGAGAGGTCTGGCTTGGGCCAGTATCAACCAGATTCCTTTCAGATGAAACCAAACCCAATATGCTCCAGGAATGCACCTCATGCTCCCCAGCCACTGATGGGCGTTCAGGCTGCAGGATCAGCCCAGAGCCTGTCTGTAGCTAAAAACACCTTGTAAATCACAGAATCATTTAGTTTGGAAAAGACCTCTAAGATCACTGAGCCCAGCTGTTAACACTGCCAAGCCCATCACTAAACCATGTCCCCAAGTGCCACTTCTACATGACTCTTAAATCCCTCCAGGGATGGTGACTCCACCACTTCCCTGAAGAGCCTGTTACAATGCTTGACAATCCTTTCAGTGAAGAAATTTTTCCTAATATCCCATCTAAATCTTCTCTGGCAAAACTTCCAGAAGACCATTTCCTCTTATTCTGTCCTCTTGTCCTGATTAAACCATAACATGTATTTGTTGCCTGAGGGAAGAGCCTGAACACCCCCCGCCCCCCAGCCCCCAGCTCCAACCTGCTGCCAAGGAGTTCTGGAGAGCAATAAGGACTCCTTGTGCCCCTTTTCTCCAGCCTGAAGCCCCCCAGTGCCCCCAACCCCTTCTCATCAGGCTGCTCCCAGCTCCATCACCCTTCTCTGGACATTCCCCAGCACCTCAATGTCCTTCTTCTAGTGAGGGGCCCAAAGCTGAGCACAGGATTCTGGGGGAAATATATAGTTAATACATCAGGTCCTGGGATATCTGTGTCTGCTCCTGCTGCGCTGTGCTTGTGCATTGGAGCCCAAATCCTCCCAGATTTGCCTTCCCATCCCATTTTGCTCTGGAGTTGCCCATGGACCACAGCTTTCCTTTCTACCCCTGATGCCCACAAGCCTCTCCCATCCCTTCGGCTCCCCAGTCCCCAGCAGGAGCGCTGCATCCGCGGCTTTCCTATGGCCCTCCGTGAGTGCGGCCCGAGCTGCAGGGATGGAACTTGCCGGGAAAAGACGAATATTCCTTTCTTTCCCGCTGGCTCCGCACGGTCAGCACCGCTAGATGGCAATTGCGGCGTGTGCTCGGAGGGACGGGGCAGCCGCGGGACCCGGGGCTGGATCCGTGAGGGGCTGCCCCGCTGTCCTCCCACCTCCGGCCCCTCCTGCCGCCCGCTGCTCCAGGTGCTCTGCGAGAGCTGCGAGAAGCCGCTGGAGGGGCGGCAGGGTGGGCATCGCCGCTGGGATCCCGCTGGCCGGTGAGTAATGAGCGGAATTCATTCATTAATGAATTAATGAATTGCTCCGGGCTGCCTCGGCTCTCCCCCTCAGAGCTGCCCGGGGTGGCACTCCCGGCAGAGCAGCAGCCGGGGTTGATCAGTCATGAGCTCTTCTGCTCTCAGTCAGCTTCGTTGTGTTTTACAGCTTCGTGCAGAGTAACTCACGAGTGGCTGGGCTTATCCCGGCCCCGTGGAGAGAGCAGAGCTCTCTCTGGCACTCTGCTTGCCCTGGCATGGCATGGAAAGTTCTACTGACCTTTATAGAATCGTGGAATGCTTGGAGTTGGGATGGGACCCTAAAGGTTACCTTATTCCGATCCCCCGATCTTCTATGTTCGTGTTGTATCTTTTAATGCTGTAACTTGGGTCCCGGGAGGTTTTGTGCTTTTTTACTACACTGAAGCTGTTGCCAGAGCTGGTTTTTCTAGGGTTTCTTGGCTTCAATGCTCTACTTTGCTGCTGAGGAGCCCAAAAACCCACACTGGGCTAATTGGCTTTGCCACTGCTCAGAGATAACTTTGTGAGATTTTTCCTTCCTCACCAGATAGAAATCAGTCATTTGCCTCCAAAAGGTTGTGTCATTCTTGATCTAAGGAGAAAAAAAAAAAAACAAACCCAAAAAAACCAGCCTCCCTGGTCAGTGAGGGAATTGTCCTCTGCTTGGGCTTTATTAAATCTGTTGGGACAGGGAAATCGTGTTTCTTTAACCCCCTCTGCAACGCCTCAGCTCTCAGAAACTCGGGTCAAGTGATACAGCAGGCAGAAAAGAAACAGAGCCTGAGAAATGCTGAGTGCTCTGCAAAGGAGTCCCTTAACTAATGATCCTTCTGCTTGGAAGCATCACAGATCTCAGGGATGGATGGCTGGGAGTCAGGAGACTTGCATGCCTGAGTGTCCTGAGAGTGACGGGTGGGTTTCGGTGTGAGGGGCTGATACTCAGGGTGAGGGAGGAAGGACAAGGCTGAATGGTTGTTTATGACCAGAAACAAATAAAAAAACACTTAAAGAACTTAAATTAAGACAAAAAGGGTAATTTCTTCCTTTCTACCCTTGAACTAAGATTACCCTTGGCATGAATCACAGCTCCTGAGTGTGAACCCTAGAAGGCATCTGGGCCATGGGATGCACTGCTCACTGAAAATCAGCTCCAGGGAGCCTGCCCTTAGTTAAGAAGTTTATTGCCTTTAAAGAACCATTGCTTTGATCCAGCTGCTGAGCACTGTCAGGAAAATACTGCTAAACTGGAAAGCAGCATTTTTTCCTGCAGCCATGTGCCCAAGGGAAGGGGGAAGTGCTGCAGGAGATGTGGTCCCAGAACTGTGGCACACATGCCGGCCACGCGCCCGAGTGCGAGCCGTGGGCAGCTTTCTCTGGGCCAGTGGAGCGTGTCCGGCTTTCTGCCGGCCGCTGCTGCTCTGCCTTCAAAGGGAGGGGTCAGGCAGCCCTGACGGGTCACTGGCTTGACACGATGGGCTGCTGGAACAGAGAGATTACTCTGCTGAGTTAACGGTATTGAGAGCGACAGAGACACAAACACCCCGGTGATTAATGAGCCGGGGATGGGGAAGTCAATCTGAAAGCCAGGGAAGAGATATCAGCCCTATAAGAAATATGGGAAGAATTCAGCCCTAATCTAATCTCACTGAATTCCACAAGTGTGTAAAACAGGGATCATTTGCTGCAGTTCCTTAGGTTGAGAATTTAACAGGAAACCCCCAAGGATGTGAGATGTTCTCCCAAATCCCATCATGCCTGTGCACAGAGGCTGGAGAGCAGCTGCCACAGCCTGAGCCATCTCATCTGGCTGGACAAGAGGTGATGCCCAGGCTGTGGTGCTGCCAGCAGCAGCATCCAGCAGTACCCAGCTCCAGGACGGGGAGCTGGAGCCAAGTCTGGGGTCCTTGGCAGCCCCTGCCCTTGGCCAAGCCCAGGCCAAGCCAGCAGGGCTGGCAGAGGTTCCAGATGGGGATTCTGCTGCCTGGCTCTCTGCTGTGCTCCTGTGGCACACGCTCAGGGGCTGTTTACAGCAAGCAGGAAGATTTATTGTAAATTTTGGCTCCCAGACTCTTGGAGCTGCCTCTTCCTCCAAGTTTGGTCTCTCCCCACTCCGTCTGGGATTACAGTGAGAGGAAGTTCAGAGAGCACAGGGCAATTAGATCCTTACAGGCACTCGCTCATATGGTTACAAACCCACAGAGATCAGTCAGCTGAGTCACCTCCTGGCCCGGAGGGGCAGCCAGGATTGGCTTTTGGATGGGGAATAGGGGGACAAACCTAGCCTCACCTGCCCTTTTTGAGGAGCCCCCATTTGGAGGAGGTCAGATCAGGGGATCGTGCTCCCCACTGCTTGGGACAGGGAGAGAGATGAAAACAGTGTTACCTGCCCTGGGCTGGGTCTCCATTCTTGGTCCTCTCTGGCCCTTGCAAGCCACCTGACAACTCCCTGCTCCCGCCCTGCTCACAGGAGCTGGCTGTACCTTCTCCAGCACATTTTACCTGGGGAAACCGAAGCACAGGATGGTGAAAGGACTTGTGTAAGTGGCAGGGCTGGACTCACAGTACCTAGTTATTCTCCCTCCCTAAAGACTAGATGATCTCAAAACACAGCCATAAACCCCCAGCATCTCCTTGCAGATAAATGCCATGAATGACAGAGGTTCTGCGGTACCCAGAAGGAGCACTCTATACTCCTGGCAGAGATAAACCTTTATTACTTCCCAGTGTAGTTGCTGTAGGATATTTGGGCTCTGCCACCTCCATGCTCCATGTACCCCCTGATCTCCCCCATCTCCACTGTACCTGCAGGCATGCTACATGTGTGCTCCAGACCAGCACAACCCCTCTCCACTGTCAGCATGGCATGACATGGAGCACAACTGTTGCCAGCATCAGCCCCTGTTGACTTGGGAGCCTGCCCAGGTCTGGTTTCCCTGGAACAGCACTGCTCACAAGCACTCAGCTGTGTGGGGTTGTTGTTCTGCTCTCGTGCGCTGGCGAGCTGCCATTTATTGTGTGCAGGATCTCCCCTGCTTCTCCCACCGCCGGGTCCAGGTTTATTTCCCCCTTTTCTAGGAGGAGACCACTGATGTCAGCTAACTTGGCCTGAGCTCTTTGTCGTGTGAAAAGGGAAAACAAGGGCTTTCGGTTTCAATCTGTCCCTTGCTTGTCCTCGGAGGGAGGAACCGGCCTTCCCACAGTGTGTGCGGGTGGTGACACCGTGACAGCTCTGCCACCATGTGCCAAAGCCATGTGCAGGGAGTCAGGCTCAGTGCTGAGCCGCTCTAGGAGGATGAGCCGCTCTTTGGGGGAAGATGAGACACTTGGGGTCAATCCCTGCCCTGCTGTGCTTTCCATTTGGCCATGAGCCGGTCACTCAGTCCATCTGTGCCTCAGCCCCACGCTGGAGCAATGCCAGCCACTGTGGCCTTCCGTGGTGGAACCCCGAGCAGGTGAGTTCATGGCGGGCAGAGAGGCCTTCACCTGAGGTAGGGATTGGACAGGAGGACACGGCACCGTGTTCTGCGCTGGTTCTGCCTGTGTTTGCAGGGCAGGGAAATGACAAAAGCAGGGGGGCTGCGTGCTTTGGAGCATCCTGCTGCGGCTGCCGCTGTTCCCCGGTGTGAAGCTGCCCCGCTCCTGCCCTGTCCCAGCCGCGCTGCTGACCCGGCATCTCCGGGGAAGCGACCGAGCGACGAGGGACCGGGGGGGAACGGCCCGGCGGCCATCCCAGCGCCTCTGCTGCTCCCTGCTCCGGGAAATAGGAGCACAGAAGCTGCAGGAGCTCCCCGGGCCGCTGCCGCCGGCAGAGCCCGTCCGGGCCCGGGGCGGCTGCCGGGGCTCCAGGGCTTGCGGGCCAGGCACCTGAGCCGGCAAAACAGGCGGTAATTCCCCAGCAGCCCGGCCAAGAGACTCTGAGAAGAAGCAGATAACAGGTCAGGCACCCTCCATCCTCATTAAAATACTTTCTCCGGCGGAGCCCCCCACGCCTACCCAGCCTGTTCCAATTAGCGCAGCGGCCGGGAGCTCCCGCTGCTGAAAACAAAACACTGCCGAGCTTTCAAGGGTCGGGGCAGGTGGGTGGCCCCAGCTGGGACAGACAGTGGCCCCGTGTCGCTGGCTGGCTGTGGTGAAGTGGCTCATGAGCCAGGTCACCGAGCAGCAGAGCAGGTGTTTCACGGCCAGCTCCCGCCTGGAATGCGGAGATGTGGCCAAGCTAAAAGCACTCTGTGTGGTGCTGAGCATCCCTGTCCAATAGGTTTGGAGAAGGGAAGTGATAATCACAGTGTGAATGAAGAAAATCAATGTCGCAGATCCTGTGGGCTTGCTGCAGAAAGCCTTGGCATCTTCAGGAAGCAATCGGTGCTGTCCTGGGAGTGCTGGGACAAGCTGCAGCCTGCCCAGGGGACGGGAATTCTTTTGCCACGGATGTCTCCCTGGAGATGGAGCTGTCCCTCCAAGACCTTGGGTCTCTGCTGGGATTCTTTGCAAGGCTCCAACCAAACTCAGCCAAACCCACCACCTCTTTTCCAGAGGCCACCAAAGGAGCAGCAGCCTGTGACACTGGGTTCCAGCTGGTGACCCAGGGCTGGTGAGCTCTGTGTTGAAACTCCAGGTGTCACCCATGGAGGATTTACAGCCAGCCCATGCCAGGAGCAGAGGCAAACCTGCCCCTTGCTGGAGTCCATGCAGATCCCTGGCCTTGGAGCCCCTGTCAGGTTTGAGCACATGTGGGATTCACCCAGGCTGAGCCTGGAAAATCTGAAGCCCAGAGAACAACTCCCATGTGGGGCAGGGCCCCCGAGCCTCCCCAGGGCTGTGCTGAATGTCAGGCCATGTGGCAGACAGGTGACAAGAGTGGGTTTCAGCACTGGGGTATAAATGGCTCTGAGGAATTCAGTGCTGCCTCTGGGGACCCCCGGGGCTTTGGGGACCTGGCCTGGCAGCTCAGCAGGCAGTACACAGCCTCTTCTCTGCCTTAC